TAACAATTATTAAAAGCTTACATAGAATTGAACAAATAATTTTTTTATTTACTCGTTGATGAGAATATCGGTTTTTCAAAAAATGTGAATTTAATTTTTATATATTTATTTTCAAAAGAATGAATAATATTAAAATAAAAAACCATATTAATTTGACTTTCAACTATTAATTAATTAATTTGAGTTTTTTCCAACAAAAAAAAACCAAGGAAAAATTATTTGAAATACAATTTTAATCTAAAAATGTATTTCAGTACAAATTATATATATATATATATATATCACGCCACTATAATTTAAAAGTTATCTAAATCTGTTTTTCACAAAAAAAAAATCATATTCTAAAAATTTATTCTATAATCCATACATATAGAAAAATAAATCAAATTTCTCAAGAAATCTGTTAAATTAATTGGATGAGAATTTTTTTAAAATGATAAAATAAAGTAGTAAATTTAAAATAATAAAAATAATTAACAAAAAACACTAAAAAAAAATGGGGATAAAATCACAATAGAATTAAAGTTTGAAATTGAAAAAAAGTGATAAATTAATATAGTAAATTTTAAATAATAAAAAAATTGAGAAAAAAAACACTTTTAATCTAAAAATGTATTCTAGACAAATTATATATATTAATCATGCCACTATAATTTAAAAATTATCTAAATCTATTTTTTAAAAAATAATAATCATGTTCTAAAAATTTATTCCCATAATCTATACATATAAAAAAAATCAAAATTATCAGCAAATATAATTTTAAATTAATTAGATGACAATTCAAAAAAATAAAAAAATTAAAGTAGTAAATTTTAAATAATAAAAATAATTAACAAAAAATACTAAAATAAAATGTGACCAAATCGTAATATAATCAAAGTTTGAAATTGAAAAAAAAAAGAGAATTTAAAAAAAAATTAATGTAGTAAATTTAAAATAATATAAAATGAATAAAAGATTATTTGAAATATACTTTTAATCTAAAAATATATTTCAAACAAATTATATATATTAATCTTGCCACTATAATTTAAAAATTATCTAAATTGAAAAGAAAAAATAATCATGTTCTAAATTTTTTTTTCCAAAATCCATACATGTAGAAAAATAAATCAAAACTATTAGTAAATATAATTTTAAATTAATTGAATGAGAATTTGTTTTTAAAATGACAAATTAAAGTAGTAAATTTTAAATAATAAAAATAATTAATGAAAAATATTAAAACAAAATATGATCAAATCACAATATAATTAAAGTTTGAAATTGAAAAAGAAAGAGATTTTTTTTATAAAAAAAATTAAAGTAGTAAATTTTAAATAATAAAAATAATCAATAAAAAATGTTATAACAAAATGGGATCAAATCGCAATACAATTAAAGTTTGAAATTGAAAAAAATATATAGAAAAATTGAGGACCAAAATATTATAAAAATATCATGAATAATGAAAAGAATATTAATCTGTGAATTTGTAAATAGTAATTTATGAATGTGTGAATAATATTTCAAATAATAAATAAATATAAAATTATATTTTATTTTAGTTTTATTGATAATTTATCTAAGAGCATTGAATGCATCCACCATTCAAAATTTGGGAGCATGGACACCCACGCAATAAATGGAGCCAAAGTAATGGGCCACGATGATGGAAAATAAGGTTTTTGAACATTGTTGGAGGTGAATGATTTTGAATCGTCGTCTTAAAAATTCATACCCCATCCTTGGAACCAATGGATCCTCGTTATGGATTTTCAATATTTTTTTGTTGATTTTTGTTTTTTTTTTTTGTTTTTTTTTTGTTTTTTGTTTCTACTCGTTACGTGTGAGGTGTTTAATTAAAATTAATTACATAACTGTGTACGAATATCTCTTTCAGATTTCTCTACTCTTTCTTATATTAAAGCTCAACGATATTAGATATGATCACTAGTTAAGAGGGTAGGTGACATATTATAAATGTTGATTTCATCTCTTATCCAAGAAACGAGGGCTGCTTACGTTTTCAATTGCATTTAGATTTGTTTGGTTGTGCATGTGAAAACAACATTCCTTCTTCTTCTTTTTTTTTATCTACATCTTTGAAAAAAAAAAGAACGAACTTTAGGTCAAAGATATGATTTTAAATTTAAAAGCTCTCATCACAATTCATAACACATCAATTTACATGATTTTATCGGGAGACACTGAAGATACATGAATTTTAAATTTAAAAACTTTAAAGCTGAATTTTTATGTTGATTTTGGTTGTCATCTTAGTATTCTAGCTAGTTATTGTCTCATGCACGCTTAGTAAGAAGAAGTTTTTGTTTTTTATTTTGTATTTGGTTTTTGTGCCTTCTTTCTGCCTTCTTTCTAGTTTTCATTTACAAATTTTTGGTCATTGTATGATCATCTTCTTTTAATTGTATGCATTATCCTTTTTTAGCAAGTTTGAAAAAAAAAATCTTCAACGCAATCTCCACTGTACATATCATAGTTGCAACATAAAACGTAAAATAAAATGACGCAACTTAGTGATAACTTAAAATATCGAATTTTTTTTTATCATATTTTTATCGGTACTTAGTATTTATGAAGCAGAGGTTTATAAAAATGTATCCTATAATAAATAAATTAAATTCTCAAATCATTGATTTTTTTTTTCGAATCACTGATCATTAAATTTTCATGAAAGCGCAAAAGGTATCTTGTGAAACGATTTATCATCATTGTTTTAGACCCGCCATGCTGTAGTCGAATATATTTAATCATTTAATGAACCTTATGTAACTCCATTACAAGTCAACATGCAACATAAATTCATGAATAATTTTTAATGTAATTAGATATTATGAATCATAATATAGGAAAAATAATAATATATTTGGGACAAAATTCGCTAATTTTTTTTAAAAATATTATATCCTAGAAAAAAAAAGTTGAGACGAGCTACGGCTGGAGACAACAATAAATGCTTTAGGGAGCGAAATCAATATAATAAAACTATAAGGACCTAATTAATGTGGCAATGAAACTACAAGAACTTAATAATAAAAACTAACTCGAGTGAAATCAGACGCCCATATAAAAGGGAAGGTCTCCTTCGAGGTTTCTCCATCCTTTCTTGAATCCAAGCTCACCTATCTCAGGCATGACCTATGGTTAATTAAGAGGATGAATTACCTTCTACGATTAGCAAACCTTAGTCGTGGAAATGGTTCACTGATTGTAAATATCGAAGGAAAAAAATATATATAATTCCAGATTCTACCTCTTATCCCGATCCTTCATGTTTCTGTTAGTTGGCTTTTGTAGTGGATCACGGGGTAGAAATAGAAGAATGAAGCTATAGCCTGAGAGAGAGCAAAGGGAGGTCGATCTCACGGCTGGCTTTGTCGTTGTGTCAGTACGATCTAAGATTTTTTTTTCTCAGCTGACTGGTAAAAAAAAAAAAAAAAAGAATTTCTTGTCTCGCCTGTGTAGACGATGGATTAGCTTTGCCATATTCACCCATGTCTGAGCCATCTGATCTCTAGGAATTTCCGACAGATATTAAGGATCTGTCATTTGTCGACTCTGTTTTTCAATCCTTTGTCATCCGCCTTCACCAGCATATTATATCAACGACACAACAATGCTTGCATTTGACTTGAATGACATAAATAGTGAAAGGATGGTGCAGCAGCTGTTCCTGACGAGAGAGACAGCAGTTCATGCCGAGATGGACCATTAGCATACCTCAGTGAGCGTCATAGCCTTGTTTTTGTTCAATTCATGGAGATCAATTCGCTAAGCTAGGGATTCGGTGAGAGATGGAAAAAGGCGAAGCGGGTAGGAGATTACTATGACTTGGTTGTAGTTGATTTGAATCCCGATTTTTTATTTGCCGAAAAAAGATAAAAACATACCCTCATACAAAATACATAACATAGGAAGGTATTGATATCAATATGATAATCATGTTGGATAAATCTAGACAATTGATTTTAAAATTAATAATTAATTTTGTTTAGAAAAAACTAACTACAAAAAAAAAAAAAAAAGTTTCTAACCACCCATAACTTGTGGCAAAGAGAGATTATTAGATGTTTTCAGTGTTTTTTATTTCACTCATATAAAAATAAAAATAATAAATTATTATTATGATAAATCTCAATTTCATGTGAGTGGAGAAATAACATTTTTACAAGTATCCGAACAATTTTCCCGTTTTGAAATTATAAAAAAAATATCTCTTTATGTTTCTTTTACTTGCGGTACTTGCAATTGCAGTCCACTATATATATTAAATGCATGAGTGCAATTATATAAATGGCCGTAGAAAATTCATCATCACATAATGTAAAGCAATCGCGCGATAATTGAGCGGCGAACTACTTTCTCCACGATCTCGTGCGATATAAAAAATTATTATATATCAACGTCTAGTGGAGCTACTTATGTTTTTTTTTCCTAGCAGCCTGGCCTGTGGGCCCTAGAGGAAATCAAGAGGTTGTCAAACTTCAATCCGACGTCTTATTGCAATATCCGATCAGCTGATCCTTCATTCTATAAAATGCATACTGGAATGACCACGAAGGAAACACAAAGAGGAAAAAACCCAACCTGAAACCCAAGGCAAAAAAAATAGGGAAAATAAAGCATCTCCTTGCCTACGCGAAACCATGCTTCCACACATAGGTAAGATGAGGAACAAAATGGATACTAACCAAGTGGCGCAAAGGCATTCTGTGGGAGCAACTCAAAGGAAGAGTCTGGTACAGATACACACAATACTAGAATTGTCGTTCTTCATTAATGGCTTTGCATTGTTCATTCCATCTATTGTTCTCAATTGCTTTCTTGGCTTCCTTCTCGTTAATGGCTCGTTTTTGTATATGATTATCAGTTGACTTTTTACTCTTTTTTTTTTTTTTGAAATTCTAACATACACAATTTATTAACAATGCAAACAGAAACGGAAAAAAAGTGACAAAAAATTAAGTAGGAGCATCAAAAGGATAAGAGCTGACATGGCTGAGATTAGCCAGGGACAAAAACGCATAAGGGAGGGACAAAAGGAAGTAAGGGAAAAATTTCGGGAAATAAGTGAAGAGGCGGCTAAACTACAAGAGGAAACTAATCTAATTTCCAAGCAGAGTGCTGCAAATCAACTCAGGCTTGATCTTATGTTTGAAATCGTCAAAGCAAGAACAGAGAATGATTCTGCCAAGGACGCCTCACTCACTCAAACCTTACGGTTTGTGATCCTATCCACACCTTAATTTGTAGCTTCATTTTAATTTTATTACGTACCGGTCATCACCATAAACTTGAATAATATAGAATATGAATATAGTAGAAGAAGAATTGAACTGCTGTTTTCCGCATGTTAATGGAATTTCAAGCGTGTGATATAATTAACCGACGTTATCTTTTGTTTAAATATGATGTTTCAGGGAGCTAATGGCAAAGCAAAAACATGAGCTTTTCAGTATGTCTGAGCAAGAACAAGTTTGATGAATAACCACGTTTCTTATGGTCTATAGCTTGCACTTTTTTTTTTTTTTCATCCTCAGGCAGAGACTATCTTAATGTTGTTTACACTCTGCAGTTTGGTAATGTAATGTATGTTATATGATATTTGTAATAAATTAATTATTATGATATTAATTATTATCACCTAATTTTGTATCTTTTGTTTTACATATATATATTTTAAATATATTTATTATAAAAAAATAACAATAATAAGAGAATTAAATAAAAAACATAAAAAATTAAATTTACTATAAAATAAAACGAATAAAAATAATAATGTAACATACGGTATATAATATTTGTAATAAATTAATTATTATGATATTAATTTTTATCATCTAATTTTGTATCATTTGTTTTATATATTTTTTAAAAAATATAAAAAATTAAATAAATAAATAAATATTTTTATTATAAAATAATAATAATAATAAGAGAATTGAAGAAAAATATATAAGAAAATAAATTCACTATAAAATAAAGTGAATACAAATGGTAGGAATTTTAAATTATTCTCTTATTGTATATAAAATACTTAATATACAAACTAATGAACAATCAAATCTATTTATACGTATTTATACGTTTTAAAATTAAAAAAAGAATTAAAAATAAACAATCAAATCTATTTATAGGTTTTAAAATTAGAAAGAGAATTAAAAATGATTGAACAATTAAAAGTATATAAATTGTTGAATTAATTGTATCATTTTTAAAATTTTTCTTTTCAATTTCTTATATTGAATGGTAAATTGAAAGAAGAAATTGAATCATATTAAGAGTTATAAATAATGTAGATATGAAAAGCATATGAACATTCATTATTTCATAGCAATTCTCATTGAATGTTTATTATACAAGGAATATGTCTCGTTAATATCTTAATCGGAAAAAAACCCAATAAGAAAAAAATCTTAGTGAAAGAAAAAAATATAATATTTTTTGTACACATCGATCCCTATATTGGGTTTTTTTTTTCTTGAAAACATTATTTAAGATCTCTAAAACGATACATTTCAATCTTATAAATCATCTTTTTAAAAGTTGTAGTAGGTAATGTCTTAATGAAAAAATTTATTGGATTGTCACCTAATTGAATTTGTTGAATATTACTATCACCATTTTGTTGAAGATCATGTGTGAAAAATAATTTTGGTGATATATGTTCCGTTCCGTCATATTTAATGTATCATTCCTTTAATTGTGAATCATCTTTTCAAAAGTTGTGGTAGGTAATGTTTTAGTAAATAAATCTGTTGGATTTTCACTTGATTGAATTTATTGAATATTAATATCATTATTTCTTTGAAGATCATGTGTGAGGCCTAAGGTCCCCTTTGTTTTAAGATTCAGCTTTCTATACTGTTTTATCATACACAATATTCTCACAACTATCAATATCAATAACAAAACGACATCCCTTACCTTGAATTGTGTTGGTGGATTGAAAAATATGATTCCTTAGCCAATCATCACCAGCAATTTTAGGAGTCAAGCGAGACCTCATAACAACCAATGCTACCCCTTCATCACCCATCACAACCTCCTCTATGAGTATCTCTATCATCATAAATTAGATCACCAATCAACTCTACATCACCTTCATCATAATCTTTAGCATCAACAAGAAGTGATATTTTCTTTGCCTTTCGACACTCGGACTATCCGTGGCCAACTTCACCATACCCAAAGCACTTTATATTGATATCGACTACCTTGCTATTCCGTTCAAGAATCGTGATGTTCTTCCTACCTTCCCTTCCTATCTAGATTACACCACCACCACTAATAATGTTGCTACTTTTTCCCATATTGAAATGATTAATAAAGCTACTCCAATAGGCTTGCTTCTTTTATGTAATGCTTTCCGAAATTCAACGAACACACAAGATCAAATATATCAATAGAGTCCCTAATATGTGGTTTCAGTCCACCAATATACCTCACCATCGCTTGATCTTTCGTCTCTTACAGTTCGTTCTAGGTTAACAACTCGGTAGAACTCAATGGTATAATAATCTACCGATCGTGCCTCTTGTCTCAAATCTTGTAACCGTTGATACATCATCCTCTAGAAGTTATAAGGTAAGAAGGTAGAACATAGGTGTTTCTTTATCTTTTCTCAAGACGTAATCTTAAGCATACACATCCCGTTTCTAGTCGACTTCAGCTTGTTTCCACCAACCAATCATCCTTTTTCTAAATCCGATGGCTACTACGGACATCCGTTTATACTCGGGAGCTCCCTTAAACTTCGAATCTTCTCTACCATCGACAACCAGCTCGTAAACTCTTCGCTTGGAGGGTACCATAAAATTCAAAAACGACTCTCCCACCTCCTATTGTTAGAATCCCTCACATGAACTCTATATCGCATGACTAGGACGTTTTCATCATCCTCCTCATCATTAAGGTCAACCTTGGGTGCCTCCAATGATGATTTCGGCTTCGGTTCCTAAGGTCTCTACCTATATTCATCATCAACGCACCCATCCGTTATGTCAACGTCCATATCCGTTATGTCAACTACTCCATCCTATCATTCATCTCGCTCAACTCATTATTCTAAATGCACCCCATCAATAACCTCATAGATATCATCCATATCTTGCTCTCGTTATTGCTCGTCTCCTTGGCGCATGGTCGGGAAAGTGGTAATCCAACTTTAATACCAACTACTACAAGTTTATTAATTAAGCAAAAGTGATGTTTTTCAGCCTTAAAGTCATATATAAATAGTAAATTTGTAGTTAAAACCCTAAAGCAATTTGAAAAGAAAACAAACACTAAAATCTAAAAATATTAAGAAAAAATCCTAAAAAATAGTGAATCGCGATTTTGAAGGCCTAAACGATGTTTGTTGGCCAAAATCACTCCTACATCGTGGGCATACCTTATGAGTTTTGCTCCTTCACTTGTTTGACATCAAATTAGGCTAAAAAAACCCATTAGGTTGATGATTCCACAGACTCTATTAAATTTAAAATAGAGGGCGAAGGTGTTGCCACTTGACCAAGACAATGGGTGGAGCATTGGGTAGATCGTAGATGGACTTCATTGATATTTGTTAATTATAAAAATATGTTGGTGCTGATTTGATGTCATATTCATTTAGGAAGAGTAAAGTAAAACAACAATTGCGTTGTGCTAAACCGACATTAATATTCTTTTTCTCATTGACGATTTTTACGTTCGTGTCTCTAATTTGTAAATAAATAAATAAATAATGGAGAGTAAAACATCATAAGTATTATAGATACTTATTGGGCCAATAAATTAGGTGAACAAAGAATTAGGTGCTAATTAATAACATCCTCTACTTGATACTTGACCAAAGTTTATCGGTAATCTAAACATATATTTGTTTTTGGTGACATTTTTCTTGTTCGACCATTGATTAGATAAGTTGAATATTAATGCATCTATCTTTATTTTTAAAATGTCGATGGGTTTTTCTTTCACGAGAGAGAATCTATTTAACGTTTTCATAATGGTCAAATTAAACAAACTGGGACCGTTTGACTATCGCTAACATGATTGAAAATCAAAAGGATGATACAACCTCAATGCCCAATTTATCGTATTAAGCTATGTTCCCTTTCATCCGTGTCGTTTTTGCTCTCTAGGTCATTTTTGCTTTGGAGGCCATGTTTTTTTTGTGCTCGAGAGACGTCCGACTTCCTTTTCGTAAAGGTATTGTTCTCTTTTCCGCCTAACTTTTAGCAAATCATTTTGTTGTTGTTCTTCGTTTTCATGATGCTTCTTCCGTACTCTTACTTGGCTTTTTTTTTTTTGGGTATGCTTTTGCCGTTGTGTTTACCTTTTTTGTTTTTTCTCGCCTCTTTTCCCTATTTGATTATCTTCATCAGTGTCCGTGTTTGCTTGTTGTATTAGTGGTCGACCTTATGGTTTCTCTCATTCCTTGATGCTTTACGACAAATATTTGTATGGTTATGGAAGATATATATCTATGTCCAGATCTCGCTATTATAATTAGATTTTTGACAAGACAATATTTGTTATTTGAGCAATTCTATTGTTAGATTGTTTGAATTAAAGTACAAGGCATAGTTTCTTTATTGAACTTGTTAGCACCTTTTGCGAGTATTTGTTAGTTTTTTATGGATTAAGTTGGTATACAAATAAATGACTCGAATTAGGTATCGTTAATGATGATTCGGTGAAGGTCAATTTTTGTTATTGTGAGTGGGAGTTTATGGTTCATTTTAAAATTGCAAGAAGGATGCCTATAGTAAGAAATTCAATTCTTAATTCATGACCTATAGTTAATGGTTTCTTTTGAAGTCGTGAGTGGTTTGCTTTTGATGCTTGAGGTTGTGATAACAAAAAAAATAGTTAAGAAAGGTAACGAACGATTTGAAAGAAAATACCAATATACGTGATTTTCGTTTGCAATAAAAGCTTATTGTCTAAGAGCTAATCTTTTGTTTACCACTTTCCCTTGGCTTATGTTCTTTAACCAAATGTTTCTCTTTTTTTTGTCCTTTTTTTCCTTCCGGATATTAAGGGTTTGATTGGTTTTCGGATAACACTAATGCAGTTTGTTGTCAAAAGTGATTGCTGCTAGAGTTCTCCTTATATTAAATGTTATTTTTTTAAGTATTGACTTTTTCTTAAATAAATTTAAGATGTAATCTAAATTATTTTTCAAAAATATTGTATATGCCAACATATTGTACAAAAGTTATGTTAATTATCTAATCAAGACAATTATTCATTATTTTTTTATTTACATATCTATTTGTGATGTTATGGTATGTTTAGAAGCTAATATTTTACTTTTTTTTTATTAGGAAGAGAAATTTAGTGATGTTGAAATTTTATAGTGCAATGTATATTACTTTCTTACCTCTTTACCTTTTAGTGTGTGTATATGTGTCTACTAAAAGAATTGGAATAAATCATTTTCAACATCATTGATTAACTACTCCTTTTACAATTACATATAGAAAGACAATACATCTTCTCTTATACTAGCTCAAACTATTTTATTATCTTTTATTTTGGTTAGATATAACATCACTTGCATCATTCAAGATCAAACATGTAAAACAAGACTATTGCTCATCGAAAAAACAGCTACATCATGTTTTGAAGGTTTTGGGCTTTGGTTATAATGACAAAAATATGGTCCCATAACAATTGCTAAATGCCATCAATTAGCTAAAGATTTTTTTGAATTCGACGTGATTTTTTTCGCAACAGATTGTTAGACATCATTGCAACTTATGTCTTTTCATGCCATCAATGTTGCAGCATAAATATCCTATTAGCCTAATCCACATGATTAGATAAATAAAACCTCATCAAATCCAATTAAGATTTGATGCAACATCCATTGTAATTCCATGCATGCGATTTTTATAATATTTCGGAAGTTTCGTTTGCTTATAAGAAAAAAGACCACAAACGAACACTAGAAATAAAAAATATTAAATAATATTTACAATAAAAATTAAAAATAAAAGAAACACTATAAAAAATTTAACAAATTCACTTAATCATTGAAAAAAAAGCTTTTTTATACTGCACCATATAGATAGCAAACTATGCGCATGTAGCTGGTATCTGATCCACTGCAGCGCAGCGTGGGTATCCATCCGGTGCTAGCTCTAAAAAAATCGGACGTAATTACTTTAAGTCCCTCGTGGGGGGCCCGCCGAGCAATATGGTTTTTCCAATGCAAGACTTCGCCTCATGCCAGACAAACTGCATAAAGTCTTCGTCAATTTTTTGGGTTCCGGATCTTGTTTTTATCGCTTTTTTTTTTTTTTCAATTTACTATTGAAGTCTCCGTCAATTTATTTTAATTGCCTTGATATTGTATAAAGCCTTTCGTCCTTTTTTTAGGTCTGGGATCTCTTTGCGTCCATTTGCATACTGTCTCTTTTGCACTCATTGTTTTATTGCTGTTTGTTTTTTTTTCATTTACAAATGAAGTCTTCGTCAATTTAATTTAATTGCCTCGATATTGTATAAAGTCGTCGTCAATGATTCTTTAATCACAATTCCTATTTTATGATGTATCAGGAATGTGTCTTGATGTCTTGCTGCATTTCTTATTGTTTAGTGTTTATACAACACACACACATCACAAACTAGCTAGATTGCTAATGCTGGTAATCAAGAGGCCGCATAGGAGTTCATCCGGAAAGCGTTGGATCGATGATTTATGTAAGTAGCAATATTCCAGTTCATGAATAAATTACAAATCTCACTCTCTTGAATTTTGAACTATCTGCAGCAGTACTCTTTGCTTTATAATGCGCACGAAGACAACGGTTCTTTGGAGATGGAGTAGAAGGGGCAGATAGTTCATTTTGTATGACAAGGTGCAAGCTAAGAGAAGAAACAAGTGAATTTAGAAAATGAAAAGAAGATGGCTCAAAACGAGCTCTTATTCTGATAAATATACAATGAAAGTGAGTCTGATAATCGAGGTACAACTCTAATCGAATAAGTACATAGGTAGTGTCATCTTCTAAAAATCAATGATTAGAGCTACGTAATCCCTCTTTCTTTCACTCCGTAATTTATTTTTTGTTGCCCAAGAACATGCCCTCGAATGAGTTCGCACACACCATCAGGCACAGGCTCTTTTGTGGATAACTTTCTCTTTTGTGAAGCTAACTTAGATATAAATTTCAATTCCTTCGTTTATCGTCATTTTTGTTCGCTAACTTTAATTTAGGATAAATTTATAGGTCTAACCTATCATTCCATCCATATATTTGTCAAATTTTCTCAATTTCACTTACATATTAATAATTTTTCAATTTCGATATATATGATAATCCATCTTCGTCTACATCATTTAATAAATAACGACTATCTACTTCCCCGTCAGTAACATCTAATATAGAAAGTAAAACTGGACTGAAATAATAATTTTGATCAATAGATCCCACAGTCTCTGGCTTAAAATCCTTAGATCATTGACAAACAGAAGTCCTCATAGAATTTTTTTTTTTTTTAAAAAATAGTTGTCTTTACGTGGACATTTCTTTTATATATATATATATATATATATATATATATATCGAAAGGGGGACTTTTGGAACACTAATGGGCATAAAATGAGGGGGAAAAAAAATGAAGCACTTTATTTCTCTTTGATGTGAAAGCATAAGATGAATTTATATATTATCTAAATAATATTATATTGGCTTTTTTTTTTTATTTCTATTCTAAATAGAAAGACCCTTTTTTGGATAAAAGAAGAGATTACTCTCTCCATTTCCATATGGCTCATGGTATATATAATAACTGGGGCATACATTTCGAATGCATACCCCATTTTTGCATAGATTTATATAATACATTTCATTTTTTATTCTATTTTAGTATAATGAAAATTTATATTCATTTAGAATTTCTTAGAATTTAGAATGATTTTCTAATAATAGAATTTTTTTATTATCAAATTACACTTAAATTTTATATTTACTTTCATGACCCGAAACCGTGAGATATAAAAAAATACATCAATCCTATAGATCCTTAGGATTAATTAAGGATCCAAGATAACAGTAGAAAGGTTTTAGTTCTTTAGTCTTATATTTTGTATTTAAAATCTATTTCTAAAGATAAGTGGGTATAGGAAGTCATTTTTTTGAGATCTATGCATTTCTACATTTCTTTGAGATTTCTCTATTTTCATTTTAAATTCGATTTGATTGAAGCAAATAATTATATATATATCACTAATACATCGCGGGATTCATCATGATAGGAGCTTTTGCTCATGGAGCTATATTTTTTATTAGAGATTACAATCCGAAAAGAGAATGAGGATAATGTATTGACAAGAATGCTAGATCATAAGTAAATGTAAAATTTAAAATAATAATAAATTAATAAGTTTTAATATAAATAAGTTTTTAGTTCAATCAATTAAACAAAATTAATCTAATTAATTATAGATCAAATTAACTTAATTAATTCTAATTTTATCTAAATTAAATTTAAAATAAAAATTCATTAAAGTTATGTTTCTTATGGTTTTTAGAAATTGATTCAAGTTATTTTTTAACCTTTAACTTAAAAAACCCATAAGTATGTTTGGTCAAAAATAATATTTGACTTTTAAAAATTCTTTATAAAATTCGGTGAAAATTTTGATTTAAGTTAAAATTTTTAACTTTTAATTTATAGATTTTAACTTATACTATATTTTTATATTTAAAAAGATTACTTTGAGTAATTTTTACAAATATATTTTTAATTTAAAACGATTTTAACTCTTTTTTATCATAAGCTATTCATGAAAAATAATATTCGAATTATAAATCAAACTGAAAAATTACTTTTCATAAATCATATCTAGTAAACTCTAATTCTTTAATGATTGAAAGCATTGCTTATACACAACTTATTCCACTCATTTTCTTGAAAATTAAAATCAGTTCTGTCACCTTCTATACCTTCGGACGTCCACGTCATCATGACCGTGGCCAGACCAAAACGTAACATTGAAGATTGACCATGAACTATAAATAAATCCTGAATTTCATTTCTAGACATCATTATTTCAACAACAGATCAACATATAACGAAATAGGACAGCGCAACATAAAAATCTGGCCATGAACAGGAAAACTTTCCTTGGGTTTATTTTCTAGATATCATTTATTTCTTTCAAATCAGAAACAATCAATTATATTATTTATTTATTTATATTCAACTAAAAAGCATTTGATTCTACTAAAATAATATTATTTTATTCAATTGTCATACGTACCATAAGCTTTAACACGTGAGAACCAAGAATGATTGGATGACCTCCCTAGCTCATGGTGATTTCCAAAAAGTCCGAAAGCGAACAATAGAAAGCAACTTTATAAGATATATAGCAGCCCGATTTCGCTCGACTTCGCTTGCTTTTCTTTGTTTCCGGACCACTGACTAATGAATTTAACTTTCTATATATAACAATGGGGTTAATTTTGTATTCTCTTTGTTCTTAGGTTGGTTTGCTCAGCTTCATCATTAAGCCGGTTTATTATTCTGGTACTCTCTAACCTTTCTTTCTTTTCTTTTATGAATGTAAAAGAAAATTTTCGTCTGTCAGTACTTCTGTTACATCATTTTGGACTCTCATCAGTTGATCATTTATCTATTTTACACTTTAATTTCTGCAGATCATAGCGGACAGTGGATGCTAATATGGAATTCTTAGATTTCTCTGATGCTGAGAGTAAGTTCCGTTGATTGGATCTTCTCAGAAGAAAGAAAAATTAATATACCTTGAAGAATCTGATCGGCGGATCTTTATCTTAAATTAACCCACGAACTGTGTTTATTTTCTCATCGTGTGTGTATGTATCTATATATCTTCGTCTTGTTTTTTTCTTCCTTTCATGTTTCAGAGAATAAATCTCTCGTCAGAGACTTCAAAAGAGAAAATTTTATAATTGATCCCTGCTTTTATGGTCTAAGAAACAGGAAACCTATTAAATTTTATTGACTGGAGTTAAATCAAGTGAGTCTTAGGGTTTAATTAAGGGGTTTTTTTTTCTCCTTAAAGGTGGCAATCAGACTTGCACGATTTTGAACTTCCAAACTCTGATAACCTACTCTAATATGTACTAGCTTTTCTAAGAAAATTAACCATTTTTTTTTCTTTTGTAGTCTCCCCTGGCACTGTCTATGTGGAGAACTCATTGACGAATCCACTGTTTCCTAACCAGTTGGCTGAACCAGGAGGTATGCATGTTAATGCATTACAACAATAAGCTAACGCCTCGAACTACTGTTCACATATATATATATATATATATATATATATATATATATATATATGTTTGTTCCTTTAAAAAAAAAAACGTGAATTAAGGGTTTTAATTTGTTCATCAAATTTTGAACCTAGTTGGAGAAACCACGCTTGATCTTGGGACTGGTATCGATGTACGGAATTACTGTGGATTGGAGGATCACCAACGACACCAACAGCAGTCAGTGACACCAGATCAACGTAAGAATTTTGACATGTTAGATATCTAAAATATATATTGCTTATCATGTTTATTATGACCAGAAGCTTTATCTAGTTTTTTGTTGGTTTGTTTGTTCTGATATAAGTTTCTCTAAAAACTTATAACTGTTGTTTTTAACTGTGGGTTTTATTTCTCACATATTCGAAACACAGCCGGACCAAAGTCCAATGCTTTCCCAACTGGTACTTGTCATGCAGTGCACCATGAATTAAGGAATTCTTTGAAGCATCAACAAGAGTCGGCTCCGATGGAAGGTATGGATATGATCAGAATCTTATGTGTCTCAAATTAATAAGTGTAAGACCTTGGATGTATTAGGTGTTAAAGAAGCTATCCTATATGGAATAATAAAAAACAAATGAATAATATATAAAATTGAGAATGTGTACAAGTTTTATGTATTTTTTTTTTAATGAAAATCAATCTTAATTGTGCTTAATTTAACATGATATTAGATTTTCAAAGAGATCCAACGATTTGATAAATATTTGAAACCTAATCTATTTTTAGCCTAAACCATTTACAAGAAACGCAATCTACTTTTAGCCTAAACCATTTACAAGTGAGAGGAAGTTAAAAAACTTATTAAATATCGAATAATTAAATAATAAATGAGTAATATATAAAGATGAGAATTAACCACTCACTTTGTTTTTTGTTTCTTGTATATGTTAGAAAATAATATAAATCATATCTTGAGGTCTTACCTAACAGACTTAAATTTTTAAGTGTGATAGTCTTTTGATATGATATCGAGTCTTAATGACCAAACGGTCGCGAGTTCGAATCCTATCACCCTCATCTTCTCCTATAATAGACATGTGCAAGTTTCAAGCCCAAACGGCCCTCATTTAATGGGATGTGTTAGAAAATATGGTAATTTGACAGTATATAATATGACTACACATGCAAATTTCTCTATGGTTTTTTATTTCTTTTACTAAAAAAGTTTTGTTCTTTCTCTAGATTTCTGAAACTTTATTTTTTTGTAAAACAAGAAAAAATGTTCTCTATCTAGATTTCTGTCGTGTTCGAAACTGCAGGGACTATGAATGTGAACAACATATCCATGAATCATCAAGCAGTCCTAGAACAACCAGCTGTTGATCTTAAAAAGTTGGCTAAACAACGTAATGACCTGAGATATCGTCAAAGAAAGAAGGTGAGGTTATACCAATTATCTCTGTCTGTATTACTATGAAGTTTTTTTGGTCGTCTCTTCTAATTAATTTATTTTGTATCATTTATTGTGCAGGAAGAGACGAAAGACCTGAAGAGAAAAGTGGATGAGCTGATGGAAAGAGAGAAACATTTGGCAAATGAAAATGACTCCTTGAAGAAGGACGGAGCTCGGATGGAAAAAGCTTTGAAACAAAGCAAAAGAGATGTTCACCAATTGAAGGAGAAGAACGACGGACTATCTACTACTGTAACGGAGATTTCGAGGGGTCTGGTAAGCTCTCTCTTTCCACTTCCTCTTACCAGTTAGCTAGTATTATTTCATGAAAGCACTACATTATACTTATGAGCCAATCTAAATCAAAATACTAAACTTCTCATGCTGGAACTGTTATTAGGCCTCTGCTTTGTTGTAAAATGATAGAATTCGAATCCCTAAAAAAAAAAAATAAATAAAATAAAATAAAATTGGTGTTATATAAAAAAATCATTTCAGCCCAACATTTAAATTTTTAGATCAGACATTTGAAAAGATTTTTTATCAACTCTTTGAAAATTTCCAACCACAATGACATTAGTTTTAAATTATCAATTTATTTAGAATAAGTTCAATAAACTAAAGGTTTGATAAATAAAGTCGTGCTCTTTAAATTGTATTACTCAAAACCTTTGAAGGAATTGTATTTTTCTTTAAAGGATAAGGACATTATTGAACCAAGTTTTAAACATCAAGGTCAAGTTGTTTTTTTTTAAGTTTTGATCAAACCATAAATAATACGCACTACAACAAAAATGATTTTAGAAACTAAAAAAGAAAAGGCTACAAAAGTAATTAGAAGTAAAATCCGCTATATAATCACTTCCAAAAGTCGCATATTAAATAGTTTAGAATCATAACATCATTTTGATTCAATTATTAATTTAATAGAAGCAAAAAATATTGTTGCTTTTACAGTTTATTAGCAACACTTTAATGATGTTTATATGTATATAGAATGCACTTTAATGTTTTTAAAAGCACAAAAAATCACCAATATTTATTTCTGAAATTTTTTCAAATAATTTTTTAAGCAAAACAAAAGTGCCTCTCTTGTAGTCATTGAGCGTCACTCTCATTACTTGTTAGAAGCAAGGAAAAGCTATAGTCATTTTTATAAGTTATGTTCCTTTTTTTTTTTTTTGTTGCACTGAAAATTGCTATAGTTATATTCATACTGGAACAGCTGTGACATGATATACAATATAAATGTCATAAAAAATGAAACATAAAATTCCTAGATTCAGTCGAAGCACCATTACATTCCACAACTAACAGTTCCGCAAATGGTTTTATTTTGTCATGCGTAATTAGATTGTAATTAAAGAATTTAATTTGAATCACTCTCCAACAGTAATTTTGTCAGCGTTTTTTTGGCTTAGTAGTATGGTTACTAATTAGCTTGGCAACCATTGGTAGTGGTCTCTTGCTTATCTGCAAAAAGTTACGTGTTCAAATTTTAATTTTATTATGAGCTTTGGATGTGTGTGATGTGTGACTTTAAAAAAATAATAAAAAAAATAATTGGCTTTGCATAGAGTCAATTTATTTGTATACTAATTAAGTAACCAAGGAAGAACTATACTCATTCCAAAACAGCTGGAAGGCCTTCCAGGAAACAAAAAGAAATTGTGGCTAAGAAAAAATTATTTTCAAATGGATTTTGTTATATAGCTATTAAAAAAAACACTAAATCAAAATGTTAGTTTACTATTCGCACTGTTACAATAATTATTTATTTAGACTTATTTCACTATTCATAGACTCATATGCATTTTTTTTTTTTTGTTTTACTTTGTAAATATTTTTGTAGTTTTCAAACTTTTTAAAGTCATTTATTATGAAAGTTTTTATAGCATTATATTTTGGCCTTTCTTTTTTAAACATTATCTCGTTCGGTCAATAAATTTTTTTGTTTCATTTTCGTTCCTCTTTTTTATTTTGTTTTGGTCACTTTGGTCCTTTTTTTTATTTGATTTTTTTAATTAAAAAATTTAAGGCAAAAAGATTAGAAAAAAATAATTTAAAAAATAATTTTTTGGTTAAGAATCCATTGATTTTGGTTTTTTTTTTCTTACATTATTATAATTTGTTTAGTTAAGAATATGGATAGAGGTAAATAAATAATATTTTAATTATAAAAAATATAAAGAATAATCAATCAAATACAAAATTTTGATTAAAAATTTATAAAATTAAATAAATTTTGGTAGATACACAATTCAACATAGGATATCAAATTGAAATAATTTTTTAAAAAATAATTTTATGTGTTCTATCATATCCGCAGATGTAGCGTGGGCAAAAAAACTAGTATATCCCAAGCAAAGAGTATATAAATTAGTCTCAAGGAATAGAACTTATGATTAAAAAAAATATGTTTACTTTTAAAAAAATTTTGATTCAAACTTTGAGACTAACATTTAAGGAAATTAGAACGGGAGGAATGGCACTGGAATAATATGCCTCTTGCATTCCATTATACTAGAATTAATACACCCTTTTATATACACATACGAGTTATGAGTTACATGATTGAATATGGTTAGGAAACTTCGGAGTTTATCTACATGGGTTGTAGTGTTTGTTCCTTCCACGGGTTCTCGCAATAGAGTTTACCACGGGAATTGGAGCAAGAGTGTCTCTCCTAGTGGGACTCTATCTTAGTACCACGGATTGCTTATTTCTTTCACGAGTTGCACAAATTATGTTTTCCACGAGTCTTAGAGCATGAAGATCACTCATGGTAGAATTCTATCTTAATACTCCCCCACAAACTAACCGTGGATGGCATCCAACAATAAGTTTGTCCCATAAGAATTCAAACCTTGCAATAGACAGAGGCTTGGTTAAGATATCCGCTATCCGATCCTACGTAGAAATGAAGTTTACCCGCAAGCTCCCCCCGTGATCATGTCTCCGACGAAGTGGAAGTCAATTTCCACATGTTTGGTGCGTGTATGAAAGACCGGGTTTACGGCTAAATATGTGGCTCCAATCTTATCACACCATCTTATAGGCTTGTGTACTAATGTAGCTCCAAGCTCACCCAATAAGGACATAACCCATGTTAGTTCAACTGCGAGATTAGTGACCGTTTTATACTCGACCTCAATCAAACTTCGTGCCACTATCTTTTGCTTGGATGACTTCTAAGTAATCAAGTTTGGCCCCAAGTAAAATGCATATCCATCCGTGGATTTTCCGTCCTCTAAAGAACCAACCCAGTCGAATCAAAAAACCCCGTGAGGAGTTGAGAGGTGGACCTCCTAATGTGTAAGCCATAGGTAGAGGTGTGCTTCGGATAACGCAAAATTCGTTTGACGACCTACCCAATGGTCCGACTGTGGGTCGTGCATGAATTGGCACACTTTATTCATGGAATATGCAATATCCGGTCTAGTTAGTGTAGCATATTGGAGGGAACCCACAACTCGTCGATATAGGGTCTAATCTGAAAATAATTCGGTATTCCCGACTTTAAGCTTGGATGTAGTTGGCATGGGTGTGGTGATAGGCCGACAATCTAAAATGCCTTGTTTGGTAAGGATGTCAAGTATGTACTTCGTTGAGAAAGAAGAATGCTTATGGAAGTTTTGATGACCTCTATGCCCGTAAAGTAATTGATGTCACCAAGATCTCGTGTTGCAAATGTGGAGTTCATAGCGTGGATTACTCGTTTAGAGAAAAGCCGAATTATCACCGAGTGATAATAATATATCTACATATACTAGTACAAAAACTCTACAACCTTGGGCCTTGTAAAAAAATAAAGAAGGGTCTCGTTTTGGATCCTTTAAAGCCGAATGATAGTAGGAATTCCCGGAGGTATGAAAACCGAGCTCGTGGAGACTGTTTGAGCTCATAAAGTGACTTGTGAAGTTTACAAACATGATTAGGATATTAGGCATCAACAAAGCCCACTGGTTGAGCCATGTAAACCGCTTCATGTAGTGTGCCATTTAGAAATACATTATGCACATCTAGTTGCTTGATAGGCCATTCATAGGAGACTGCTAGGGAGAGAATAACTCGATAGTGGTGGGTTTGACTACCGAGCTAAATGTCTTCCCAAAATTGATTCCTTCTTGTTGGTGATAGCCTTTGGCAATTAACTTTGCCTTGCACCTTTCAATGGTACCATCTCGGATGCTTTTTTGTTTTGAAGACTCACTTGTTCTCGATAATGTTCATCGAAGGATTTGCAGGGACGAAGGACCAAGTTCTCGTTTTTAAAAGGGCATTGAACTTTGCTTCCATAGCTTTACATCATTCAAGCATACTATTTGGCTTCAGTGTAGCAAGATGGGTTTTTAGGGGTAGTCGAGTGAGATACTACAAGCGTTGCTTTTGGGCCCATATTCCTTAATACCATAGGGTGTGTTCGTATAGGTTTCGGATCTGGAAGGAGAACTTTCACCCGCACACTCGGTTAGTCAAGTCATATTTGCTAAAATCTAACAATAAATTCAAACCTGGTGTAGAGGAACGGCTTAGGCTTGATGATTAGTGTAGTGGATTGTTGATTTTATGGATTATGAATGGTGAGGCATGTGTTTGGGTTGTGATGGTGGTGTTATCTCGTGGGAGTGTGTGGGTTTGGGCTTTTCGGTGGAGGGTCCGCAGGTGGAGTGAGGTGATGCTAACCCGCATTGAAATCATGTTGAAGGGATAAAGTGGGTCGAATAGGGACACTTATCCAAGAGGTGGAAGTAGTTTGTTGAGTGGAGATTTTAGGAGATGCATGTTGTGCAAATGGAAAAATTATTTCAATAAAGTGAACATGGCAAGCTATGCAAAAACGATTTTTTGTTTTGTCAAAATAGCGATAGCTCTAAGTGTGATGGGTCGTAGTCTAAAAATATGCAAGGTGTAGATCAAAAATCAATTTTGTGATGGTTATAAGGCCTTAGATATGGAAAACAAAGACAACCAAAAATTCTAAAAAAAGAATAATCGGGGCTTTTATGAAAAGTAAGATCAAAGGGTGATTTATACCGAGTGATGGGAGAGGGCATTCTATTAATTAAAAACATAGCGGTTTCAAATACAAAAGACCAATATTGTTTGGGAACGTGGGCCTCGACTAAGAGAGTGAGGCCCGTTTCCACAATGTGGTGATATCGTCTCTCTACAATACCGAGTACTTAAAGTGTTTGATAAGGGCAAGTGATAAGCGACTTGCTTTCCCTAATGGACAAGACAAGCATTGACTAGATAAATTTAAAGAGTGCGATAAAGAATGTTGTTTTAAAAGAAAATTTAGTACTCTATGGTGGGGATGACCCATTTTGGAGTGCCAAATATTTACAGGGACTCTCGATGAAAAGGCTTTAGGACTCGAAACTAGAAGATGGAGGCTTTAGGGAGTACGAGTCGGTATCATTCCTTCCCGAAAGAAGTTTGGTCTTGTGTACTCGGTTCTTGACACAAAACATGGAAGGGTGAAATTCCCAAAATAAGTTATTATTCTTAGCAAAACGTTTAACGTAAAGTAAGGGCTCGGTTATTTGTGAGGCGTGTAACACATCAAGTAATGTTAGATTTTTAGCAGGTGTTTTAATATGACTTGAATCAATATGTAAAATAGGTAAAAACTTACCATTGCTAACCTAAAGTTGTTCATTACCCATGTATGGCTCATATGTGCTGAAACTAGCCAAATCTAGAGTCACATGATGTGATGCATCGATGTCAAGGCACCAATCATGGGAGCACGATTGAGGTGAAGAGACAATGATGTTGGTCATGGGTCGTTGTTGTCCTGTGTAGCGTTATGGGAAGTGAATAGCGAGTGTGATTCCAAGAGGAGTAGAGTTGGCATCTTGTGCTAGAGTCTTGCGAGTTCCAATAACCCCTTTTTTAGACCGGAAGGAGCTACCGGCTCTAAAAGAGGAACGGTCGTGTCCTCGGCCTCTATCGTCGTCTACCACGGCCATGGTTGTAGCCTCCATATCGATCCTATGGTGAGCGAAATTTTTTGTTATTAAGTTGGTAATGAGTGGAGTAGGCAATATAGTTATCTTTGGTGATGAAGGCATCGATGTCAAGGCACCAATCATGGGAGCACGATTGAGGTGAAGAAGAGACAGTGATGTTGGTCATGGGTCGTTGTTGTCTCGTGTAGCGTTATGGGAAGTGAATAGCAGTGTGATTCCAAGAGGAGTAGAGTTAGCATCTTGTGTTAGAGTCTTGCGAGTTCCAATAACCCCTTTTTTAGATTGGAAGGAGCTACCGGTTCTAAAAGAGGAATGGCCATGTCCTCCGCCTCTATGCTCGTCTACCACGGCCATGGTTGTAGCCTCCATATCGATCCCATGGTGAGCAAAATTTTTTGTTATTAAGTTGGTAATGAGTGGAGTAGGCAATAGAGTTATCTTTGGTGATGAAGGAATGCTCGAATCTTCAATTAGAAACTCATGATCGACTAGGAAGCTATGGAGGTTAGTGAATGGTACCGGTTCAGCACGGGTTGAGAGGTTGGTGACGATATCTTTGAAGTCATTGGAGAGGCCCTCGAAGATGTAGAGATTGAAGTCAATTGGGGAGAGAGGATGATCGAGCTGCCGTTAGCTCATCACTAAGAGCTTTGGCGCGATGAAGAAATTGAGATACTAGCTCACGGGACTCTTGCTTTATTCTTTCCAAAGCAAGATGAAGTGACATTATGCGGGTGTTAGAGGGTGAAACCAAGCCACTTTCGGGTGCACGCCATACTTCTTGTGAGGTGGTGCGATCAATGACCATGGGGAAGCACTTTTATGAAGAGAGAGGAGATGATTGTGCTCATTAAGAGCCGGTCCTCGCTGGATCCATGCTTTGTGAGCTAGATTGATCCGATGAAGGCTCGTATCGATAGCAATAACATGGCTTGGAGGGCAAAGGAAGGTACCATCCACAAACCGGAAGAGGTCTTGGCCAAGAAGGAATGGTTTAAGCTAAATTTTCCACAGGTAAGTAGTTTGTTTGGGGTAATTTGAGAGAGATAAAGTGGTGGGAATTGCTTAGTTGGGTAATGGGGCTAGCAAGTTGAGGAGTAACTCGGAGTTGTTTCAGCAGTGGTGGTGGGGGGAGATGTTGTGTTGCTGGAGAGAGCCATTGTTTTTCGAAGAGGAAGGGAAACATGGGGTATCGAGTAAAGAAAGAAAGTGGTCATTGTGGGAGGTATATTTGGGCAGCGGCTAGCGTGTTTTGGTGAAGGGAATAGGAAAAAAAGAAGGAGATTTATCGTCGGCGTGATTTTGGGCAGTAGCTAATTGAGAGCAATATACCGACGTGTTTTACGAACTGGAAAGGGTATATATATATATATATATATATATATATTGATGTTAAGCTAAATAGCTCGATACCAAATTAGAACCGGAGGAATGGCGCTTGAATAATATGCCTCTTGCATTCCATCATACTAGAATTAATATACCCTTTTATATACACATACGAGTTATGGGTTACATGATTGAATATGGTTAGGAAACTTCGCAGTTTATCTACACGGGTTGTAGTGTTTGCTCCTTCCATGGGTTCTGCAATAGAGTTTACCACGGGACTTGGAGCAAGAGTGTCTCTCCTAGTGGGACTCTGTCTTAGTACCACGGATTGCTTATTTCTTCCACGGGTTGCACAAATTATGTCTTCCACGGGTCTTGGAGCATGAAGATCACTCCTGGTAGAATTTCGTCTTAATAAAGGATTTTTCCTAAATGTATTAGATTGGTGTCGAAGTTCACTCTTAAACGAGTGACAAAGGAGGTGAAATTTTTCTTAAATTTAAAAAACAATTTCTTTGAAGAGGCCCCATCAAAGTATTATAAGGATCAATATGCATTTATGCTAAATTATAAGATTATAATGAATTTTTGAAAATTTTGAGAGGCCATGGCCTCCTCATCAAAGGCGTACACCCCGCGTATGCTTTTAAGATCATTCGAGGAATAGACTTAACATCTATCGATGCACAAATTTGTTTTAAAATATTTTTTTTATCATACAATAAAAAAAATAATAATTCAATTTATTTTTTATATAATATTCTAATTTTTCAATCTATTTTTATATTTTTAATTGATTTGTTATGTTTTTCTAATAATATTTAAGTTTTTAATTTATCATTTTGATTATTTTTCGATAGAGAGCAATTTTTTGATCGAAATGCTAAAAAAAAAACTAAAACATGCGGATCATGTCACTTTAAGTGATTTTTCTATTATTATTATTATTATTATTTGGCATTTCAATGTCAAAAAAATTGCCTGTGGTTGGAAAATTTGGAACTTAAATATTATTCAGAAATATAAAATATGCAATTAAAAAAGCAAGAATAGATTTGAGACTCGGACTATTATATAAGAACAAATTAAATTAATTATCCTAAAAAACAATATATATTCTTTTATGTTTGTGCGAAAATACTTATTAATGGGTTTCAGTTAAGAAATTTTCAAATTCTATTGAATCATGCCAAAAAAAAAAAAAAAAGATTCAAAATAAAAATTTTCTAATTGATTTATCATTTTTTTTTCTATTTTTAAACTTCTCCAGCCTATTCTTAAGTAGAAGTAGACCAATCTAATTGTCATTGAGTTTTTTAATCCATTTATTATATGAGAAACTAATTTAAAATTTTTAAAATGTTGTAAAATAAATATTCAAATGGTTTGTTCGCTTTCTCCAATAAAATTTGAAAATTATAATCTGTTTTTTTCTTCAACAGATCAAGCTATAAGGGAAAAAAATGGGAATAAAATCACCAAATTGAGTTGGTTTAATTTGCAAATTAAATTTCAACCTAATCTTACTCACCCTGTTTGATTCAGTTGAAAATTTGAAATGCATTTAATTAAGAATCTTATAGTGGTTAGTCATTCCCAAACTCATAAATTGCTTTATATATATATATATCAAAACACGAAGGAGAAAAAATCATAAGGCGAGACGCGAAAAGGTCCAGGCAAAACAGAGTCAACAGAAAGAGATTAAAAAACAAAAATTGCTTTGCTTTTGTTATCCTATTTTATTTGGAATTGCGTCTCTAATAGTAATGTTATTCATAACAAACTTTTTTTTCTTTCGAGGTCATCATATAGTTTTTATGAATTTCTTTTTTAGGTGTTCAACTTTTCTAAATCTGGCTGCCATATTGAATTTATTAGCCGACCCCAATTCAGTAAAATTGACCTCACAGGGAGTGGTTTATTTCCAATTGATATGAATAGACATGATTTTGTTCACCAGCATTTCCAATTAAGGCTGACTTTTGGCATAAGAAGTTAAAACTAGCTTATATTAGAGTTGGCATGTTCAGAAAACACACATATTTGCCAGATTCTATCAATTGCTTCTGATGGGTACAAAACTTGGGAACATTTAGCAATATATAATAATTAGCCTGATAGATTTTCCGTCAACAAAGATCAATTTTTACCATGAATGATGGCCCAGGTCAATCCCTAGTTGAAGGATTAATTTTTATTTTCCCAAGTTCTCTAGCTTTGCACATTTTTTGATTTTCAAATTCTTGGTATTAAGCCAATGAAATTGTAGCTCATCAAACACCAATCTCACTCTTTTCTTAAGAGGTATTAAGATCAAGTTTCTCCTTTATAATAAAAAAAGAACTTTCGATGTTAATTTTATTTATAGTTTGATAGATTACTTGTATTATTTTATTTGTTTATAACCCTGTTATTTTTGTTTCCTATGCAGGCGGACTCGAAATATATTGAGGTCCAACGTGAAAATGAAGTGCTCAAATCTAATATGAATTTGCTGATTAAACAAATGAAGAATCCAAACGGCTCAATTATAATCCAGCTTCAGGCAAGAATCGCAGAACTAGAACGTGAAGCTCGCGCACGCCAACTAGTAATTGAAGCCCTATGCGCAAAGATGAAAAGGGGCACGGATGATGAACGAGAATACGAATGATAAGGTACCAATTTAACGTTGTTGTTGAATAATAATAATATTTTAAATTCATGCCTGAATTTTAGAAATAAATGGCTCCATGTAGTTTTTTCATAAGTTTAATTATTGTTTCACCGTGCTTTGTATTAAAAGTTGTCCATTATTCTAAATAATAATAACAATAATAATAATAAAGCAAGCGCAGATAATGATTCAGCCAAGGATGACTCACTTAAACCTTACGGTTTGTGAGCTTATCCACATTTTTGTACCTTCAGTGTAATTTTATTGCCGATCATCACCATAAACATGAACAATATAGAAAATGAATATTGATAGTTGGATGGTTTTTAGTTCATATTGGTAACATGGTTGATATATCTTGTTAATTGTTTAATCGTTGCAAATATTTGTAAAATAAGTCTCCTAATATTTGAAGAACCCTCCAATAGGTACTCAACATATGAAAAGAAACGTTTGGATTGAATATGCTTAATAGTATCTAGATTTTAGTGGGAGAAAATATGTAATATAATATAAGTTTTGAGCTTAGAAAGCAAAACTTTTAATGAGAGAGGTAATCAATTTGGATGAAGTAGATGATAGATTAGTCTCTCTTTTGTGATTGGTAGCTTCTAACATCCACTTATTGATTTAGAATCTCTTTAGGTGAACGTCGTTGTTCAATGATGCATGTACAACTATATTTGATGGTGATGTGATAGGAATATCCAAAAAAATTCACATCTTCATTAAATATTTATCCTTTTTATCTACAAAGTGGGAGAGATAATGCTTTCTTTATTTTGATTGTTCACCTGTGTTGGTCATCTATGCCTCTTGATGGCTAATTGAGATTGTATCCTTCATGGCAAAGTCTTGCCCGAATACTCTTTAAAAAGAACAAAAAAACATTTGTCATGATCATATGGATATATCCGTAGTTATCTATAGGTTACGAGAATTTGAAGCATATGATATGATTAGCTTACACTATATTTTGTTCAAATGTTATGTTTCAGGGAGCTAATGGCAAAGCCTAACATGAGCAAAACCAAGGTCTCTAAGGAAGAACAACATTAATGAATAGCCATGTTTTTTATAATCAATAACTTCTACTCTCTCTTTTTTCCTGGCAAAAAATGATCTTAATGGTGCTTGTACTTTTAGTTTGGTAATAATGTACCGAAGTTATGTGATATTTACAATAAGTTAATGATTACTACAAGCCTTTTTATGGCCCCGTGGATTGGATTTCCTATCTATTCATTAAACAAAAGTCCATAAGACTATTTTTCTCAAGATTATGGGAAAATGATTAGTTCTAAATTTATATAATGAGGTAAGGATTCGATTTTTCTTTATATTTTAAAATAAGTCGGTTATGTCTTTATATATTCAGTTAATTTTTAATTTATTATTCATATTATTTTTTTTAATAAAATCATCGGAAAATATTACATGATTGAATTGTGTTTAATTTTAGTTAAAAAATGCCCCTTAAATGAATGGGCATACTCAAGTCACCAACCCTCATTTTCTCCCACTTTGGCCAAAATCTAGCCGAGCACAAGCACCAAACTAATTTTTTTTCCTTCTCTTTATCTCCTCCTTCATTCCTTTTTCTTCCTTCCATTCCCCACCAAAAATCCAAACAAAATCACCTAAAAACAACCAATTCAACTCACAAGATTTTCATTTCAACGGATGTAGTTTTTCATGAAACTATTTTTCCTTTTTCTTTTTCTCGTTTTGTCTTTTATTCATTTTCTACTTATATTGTCTTATACATTTCTTTCCTCATCCACATCAAATTTGTTTGACTTTACAAACATCAATCCCGGTCATTCAATTTTACCTAGTTATGTTTCTTCTAATCCTAGTGCCATTCCTACTATTTCATCTCTTATTGTTGTCATTTCTAGCTCTTCTCCTTCTAATTCTTTGATTCTTTATAAGTTTTATGATCTTAATTCTCTAATTTCCATTCCCGGTGAACCATCTTCTTTTATACCTATTGTTCCTTGCCTCCCTTATGTAGGTTTACTAGAACTACTAAAATTCCCGCTCACTTGCTTCTCTACGATCATTATGTCCTTTGTACAACTTTTATTTCTTAAAGTAATCTCATTTACACTACCCTATATCTTATATATCCTTACCTATCTACATCTCATCCATCTTCATCTAATGCCGCCTTTATCGTTTCTTTATCCAACGCTTTTGAACCTTAAACTTACTCTCAAGCCATGAAATTTGATCATTGGAAAGATGTTATACATTCCGAGTTACTTGCACTCGAGCGTAACTACACTTAGTTTGTGATCCAATTGCCTCCTAGACATCACACAACGGGTTGTAAATGGATGTTTAAGGTTAAACTCTATGGTGATGGTAGTGTTCCTCACTCGCAAGGCTAGACTTGTTGTAAAGGGATATAGTTAAATTGAGGGTTTTGATTATCAAAAAACCTTCGGCTTTGTTACCGAACACACTATAGTATGATTATTTCTTATTTTGGCTACTCGTTTAAGGTTGGTCTTTCTCTCGGTTAGATATTAATAATGCATTTCTATGTGGTGATTTGGAAGAAACTATTTTTATGGATCCTCCTCCTAGTTACGCCTTTCGGGGAGAGTATATGGCTGGTTCAAGTTCATAAAAATTGGTTTGTCAATTGCATAAATCTTTGTATGGATTAAGCGAGCTTTCGGACAATGGAATGACAAATTTACAATTGTTTTGGTTGAGTATGGATTTCATCAATCCAAGGCAGATTATTCCTTGTTTACAATATGCACGGATCCACAAAATTTTCTTGCTTTACTAGTTTATGTAGATGACATTACAATTGCTAGCAATTCTAACTCCGACATAGTTCATCTTAAATGTTTCCTTAGCATGAAGTTTAAGCTTAAGGATCTTGGTCCACTTAAATATTTCTCAAGAATTAAAGTGGCAAGATTAGTGAAAAGAATTGTTATATGTTAGAGGAAGTATGTTTTAGAGTTGATAAAAGAATATAGTTTCTCTAAATATAAGCTTGCATCCACTCCCGTGCATTCTAAACAAAAATTGATGCATGTTTAAAAGATATTCTCACTTATCTTATTGAATACGGACAATTGGTGGGCAAACTTTTATACTTAACCTTTAATAGACCTCACATTTGTTATGTGATGTATGTTAATACTCAATTCATGGATAAACCAGCTTTGGTTCATCTACAGAGTTGCACATAGAGTGTTTAAGTATTCGAAGGGTGTGCAAGACAAGATTTGTTCTTTTCAACTAAGTCATCTATTCAATTAAGATCATTTTTAGATAGTGATTGGGTCGGCTATCCGATAAGAAAAGTAGTTTCAAGGTTTTATATATTTTTAGGGAATGCATTGGTTAGCTAGAAATCTAAACGAAGAAAGGTTAGTGGCTCGTAGTAATATAGAGGTAGAATATCAAGTTGTGGCATCTATGACTTGTGAAATCATGTGGATTTTATTCTTGTTACAAGATTTGGGCTTCATATACATAATACTAGTTCTACTCTTTTGTGATAATCAATTTGTCGTACATTTTTGCAAGAATCCAATATATTATGAAAGGAGTAAACACATTAAAGTTGGTCGCCATTTCATTCGTGAGAAAATCCTTTCTAGACTTATATACCTTCCGATTAACCTATTGCGTACATCTTCACAAAGGCTTTACAGACTTGAAATTTTTCATGAATTGGTGAGAAAGATGAGCATGAACAATATTCAAATTAATCTTGAAGGGAAGTATCAAAGTATTAAACAAGTCTATGTATGCAATTATGTGTATAGTTTTTATTGTTATACTTGAGAGTTAGTTAATTAGTTTGTTAAACTAATTATATAGTTAGTAGTTTGTTATGGTGAATTAGTTTAGCTAAACCAATATAAAAGGCACTAATAGTGCTTGTACAACGCGTGTTTTGAAGTTGAAAATAGAATCAAATTTATCATTTTTTTTCTTCTCTTCTTCTTCTTCCTTATTCCTATATTTTTCACTCGATCATGAAAGTTAACATGCGGATCACGTGATATTTCAATGAAGAATTATGCATAAATAATTGGATATTTTTGAGAAAATCTAAGGTATAAGAGCTCCACTAAACAAAATCAAGACATCCATGTTTCGAAAATGAGATATCAACAGATTAGCTTTGTTAACTTTGAAAGGAAACCAACCTTTAGCTTGCACCTTATCTTCAATAATATGAGAGCATCTCCAATGGTGATCTCTACTTTTAGCTAGTATTTTTAATGTAAATAGAGAGCATTATTAATTATATAGATTGAAGATCAATATCCTCTCTAATGCTACTCTCTATTTAACTCTTTATTTTGACAAAATTTATAAAACGCGAGAGACTATTGGTGAAGAGGTTGAGTGGCATATGAAATAGTAATTTTCATTAATGAAATATAAGATAAAAAGTCATTTAGACTTTTTAATATTGGAGAACTAAAGACACTCTTTATATTAATTTTAAAGATAGAATTTGTGATAAAGAAAGCATTGGAGATGAAATTTGGATCAAACCTCTTTATTATAAAGAAAAATCTTAATATAAAAAGAGCATTGGAGATGCTCCGAGAAAGTCACTCCAAACAAAGGACACACAAGCTAGGAGACAATAGATCATCTTGTCTAATACCTATAGTATAGAAAAAAGAGTTAGTTTTGGATTCATTTTAAAGAACTTGTATAGAAACCGTAGAAACACAATCCATCACCACTAACTAGATTACGAGAAAATCTAATAAAAACCAAAATTTCTTGAATAAACTCCTAATCTAATAAAAACCAAAATTTCTTGAATAAACTCCTAATTCAACCTTTCATATTTTTTTTATTCATCAAAACAACTTTAATGGCCACGTAGCCTCTTTTATCCATAATCTTCTACATCGATCGAATAATTTTTTGAGTAATAATAATAATATCCGTAATATGTCTTTCAAGCACAAATTGTATTGATTTAAAGAGATTAAATG